TATATAGCTTCACTTAGAGCAAGGAGCAGAACGTCCAGGAGGGAGTCCCTATAAATTTTTCAGGCTGTCAGCAACAGCAGAGGGACATCAGGCCAGGGTTTTGGGGTGTTTTGGCATCAGTAGCTCTTGGCTCATCTCTGCTAATCATGCTATTTGATGGCATGACTTCCTTACTCCTGCCCTATAGGGCTGCATTGCCTAGATGTGAGGAATGGAGCAAGGCAGTGGCATTATCCATTCCACCAGAGCAGATAACCACTCTTGTCCCCTCTAATCCATACTCAAGCCAGGACCTTAAACGATCTTTTGAAAACCCAAATATGACCTGTCACTCTTCAGTGATTTCCCATAGCTCAGGAGTGGTAGGAACTAGAAGGCATAGCATGATTTGGCTCTTACACTAATCTTATAGTTCACTCTCCAGCTACTCTTCCCATCACACAAGTCGTACAGGCCTTCTCTATTCTTCCAATGAGCCAAACTCCTTCTCCTTTCAGAGCCTATCGTCCCTTTTTCCAGAAGGCTCTTCTTCCCCCGTTGCCTGGCTAATGAATACACACCTCTCAGGTCTTCCTGAGAAAGGGTTTTTCTGCCTTCTCAGGCCAGATTAGGTCCCCTGTTTCACATTCTGATTACATGGCATTATTTTCCTTCATTGCACTAGCACCATTCTAGAAATCTAACCACGTGTGAGTATGTGATCACTCTCTGACTCTCACAAGACTATAAACGTCATGAAGGAAGGCAGTGTACCTGTTTTGTTTACTACTTTATTCCCAGCGCCAAGTACAGTGCCTGACACAGTATGTACTCAACAAATTTTCTTGGAAGAAAGGAAAAGAAGGAGGGACAGGAGGAAGGAAAGGGGGGGAAGGAAGGAAGAAAGAAGGAGGGAATGAAAGAGGGAAGCAGGCAAGGACAAAGGCAGAAAAGAAGGAATGGAGGTACCAGTAGGGCTAATTGGGATGATATTTGCTTCTCCATCTCTAGTGGGAAAGCTGGAAGGGTTAAATGTAGCTCTTACCTGCAGCCTCAATGCTTAAAGGCAGAAGTTTAACATCAGAATTTTGTCCATGAGGTAATGCTGAGTTCAAACCACAGAAGCAGGTCCAAATGGATCATCAGAGCAAAGGGGGTCTGAGATGAGTATTAGGTATAGAGCAAAATGAGAATGGGAAAAGAAGAGGAGGGAAAATAAGAAATAATCTATACAAATTCAGGAAACTGTAGGACAAGGCCATCAGCTGGGCTTATTTCTTGAACCTAGCAGCTTTTTATGCATGGGCAAAGCAAGTCTGATTAAAGGGACACAGACCACACACAATTGCCATATATAGATGTATATTGCTCCAAAAACTTTTTTGTTATTCTTCTATATAAGCCATTTTCTTGTGAGTCTGGTTAACTCTGGGTACACTATTAAGACTGAGTTAAGTTAGAGTTTATGTCATTTCAAAGCTTAGGACTGGATCTTGGGCCATGGTGCCCTGCCTACATGCTGGAGCTCAGTGAAGCTCTGCCTGAGCAGTCAGAGCTCCCTTTCTACATCTCCATGGCATCCTCCTTTGAAATTCAACATTTAGGAAGGCAACCATACTAGCCCTACACCACCAACAGTGAAATTCAACATTTTGAACCAAAGTTATCAAGCTCTTAACTTACACAATGTCTCATCTCCATTCTCGTTCGTCAGCTTCTGAGGGACAGGGAAAGTGTTTTCTCATCTCCTACTGAGCCCAGTACAATGACTTCAAATAGTAAGTGCTCAAAAATTATTGAATAAATATTGCTATATATTTCATAAGTTCTGGGAGTGATGACTCCAATGAATTTAACTTTTTGAGGAAAACTCCTTTAGACCTGAATTCATTCTGAAAATATAAGGAGCTGGACTAAATAATCTCTAAGACATTTCCAAACTATAAACTACTGGGACAACGATAAGGTTATGTCATATATTTTTTTTCAGTCTCTCTATCATTTCTACTATATTATTGGGCACATAGTGGGAACTCAATAAATATTTGCAGTAAGCTGACTCCAATATAGATGTACTTGAGTTGAGAAGAAACACAAAGATGTGTTTCTGAAGTTTCACATAAACTGCTTATGAGTTGAACACTACTTAAAATACACAAGAGAAATTTGTTATTAAATGGATTCCTAAGGTGAACTTTTCATTTTTTTATAATTACCACTTTTTTTTTTCTGGGAAAGATTCACCCTGAGCTAATACCTGTTGTCAATCTTCCTCTATCTTTTTTTTTTTTTTTCCTCCCCAAAGCCCCAGCACATAGTTGTATACTCTAGTTGTAAGTCATTCTAGTTCTTCTATGTGAGCCACCGCCCCAGCATGGCAACTGACAGATGAGTGGTGCGGTTCCGTGCCCAGGAACCAAACCTGGGCTGATGAAGCAGAGCATGCTGAACTTTAACCACTAGGCCTTTAGGGCTCACTCATAAGGTGAACATTTTTTACAATATTTGGAATCACTGTGTAATATAATAACTCCTTAATTTAATCCTCACATTTTTACTTATCAAGGTTGCTGATAATAGGATAAACCAGATTAGTAGCTTATAGTTATGAGGGAGCCAGTTGACTTACTATGGACTAAATTAAGCTATTCCTCATAGAGAAAGTGTCCCTCTTTCTATAGTTTCCTAGATGATCTCCTCTCTCTCTCTCTCTCTCTCACACACACACACACACACACACACACACACATATACTTTCTACCTTGTGTCTTAACTCATAAATTTTGTAGGTCTATTCTAATTTATAATGCTGGGCATAAACTTTTCATTTTCCAATACTCCTGTCCATATTCCTCCCCCTTGTTTAACCACATGCCTCACCATTTTTCAAAACATGTATGCCTTCCATGGTGTCTGGAGCATCCATAGTATCTAGAATCTTCGAGGCGTCTGTCTCAGGTGGTGGCTTTTGTATGAGCATGCTGGAAGTTGAAGCTTCCCCAGCTGAGAAGCAATACCTCTAGGTCACCCTCAAGGAGGGATTCAGGGAAGGGAGTGCTCTTTATTCTCTTATTTTCTCTATGACTCTCAGCTGTCCAGGGCCTTTTCCCCACTAATCCAATGAAAAATTAGTGAACTGACAACTCTTCTTAACAACAATCTTACTTCAAAATGTTCTACTCCTTTCACATAAACGGGGGGAAAAGCAAAACACACAACTAGATACTTTGAGACTGGGGTGGAAGAGAAGGCCATTTTTGGGGCGGACTCTATTTATCTCTTTTGAAGAGTCAATTGCAATGGTGACAAGGACGCCCACAGATGAGCCAGGAAAGGTTGAAATAATTCACAAAGGACAGGCAAATCAACTACCAGGTCATGGGCTATACATTTTGTTCTCCTTCAACTCTCAAGTCCTCCTTATCTTACTCCCACATACCAGGCCAAAAATCTCACCAAAATCTACTTGTACAAGGAAAAGACACGATTCAGTGACAAATACTTTATCATAGTGGAGATGGAATAAACAAGGTCAGCTGACCCCTAAAGACTGTCTTTACACTAGTAATTCTCACATCCTGTATTGAGACTTCCTGCAAGAGAACCCAATCTGTCACTGGAGTATTATCAGGAGACAATGGTACCTGTTCTCTGAGGAGTCCTGACTAATTGGCGAGATTGAATCACACACATGAAAAATTTCAGATGTAATTCCTCTTTACGCATGGCTGTCTCCTGGAAATAGAGACAGAGTTTAATCCAAATGAACATATCTGTGGAACAATTAAGATGGACAAAACTGACATGGACCAGGTATGCTCAATACTAATGGGCCTTAGGAATTGACAGTATAAAATATCAGCATATAAAGTGATACAAATAATCTACTTTTATATAGTTGACAGGGCAGGATCCCCTGAACTGGGTAAGCGTCTCCTTTTTCCAGCTGCTGAAAGTATCTAAAAGGCTGGGGGCTTCCAGAGGCTTCCCTTCTTCAGTCTGAGCTCAGATTGTGCCTGTCATCTGGCTCTAGAATGCCTGCTCAGAAGCATTTCTCCAAGACTTTTACACAGAGCCCATCAAGTTGAAGGGCCTCGTAAACAGTCTGAATGAACAGACATATTACTTCCCATTATTTTCTCTTAAAACATATGACAGATTACAGGTCAGTCAGTTCAGTTCCAGGAAAACACCAGGACCATTTAGTTCTTCACAGGTCAGATTCCTGGGTCCTTTCCTATTTTCACTCAGAAAAGTAAATAGCTTTTCTCACACCTCTGCCCGTGTTTCAAACTCCTCCAGGGTTCTGGAAGGTTACCTGTTTCCAGAGTCTAACCTAAGCCAATCCCAAACTGCTTCCCCCCTCCCCCCCGGAATAGTCAATCAAGCATAACATGGTGCAAAGAGTATAGGACTGCCGGTTAAGAAACTTGTTTCCTAGTCCCATATCTGCGATGCACTTTCTAACTCTGGGAAATAACTTCACTTCTCTGAACCTGTCAGACTAAAATATCTCCAATAACCTCTACCAGCAGTAAGATCTGGGATTCTCAATAAAACACGATATAGCCTGGGCTCGATTTAGCTCTCAGGTCAAGGCGGCCAACATATTCCCGCAGATCAAGAGCCACAATGAGAAGCTGCCATGGCAACTGGAGGGTAAGGAAATCGCCGGGCGGAACCAGAAAGCGGAGGGTGAGGGAGTCGAGGGAACAGAGAAAAGCGAAGGACGAAGGGCACACTAACAAGAAAAAGCTCAAACTGAAAAGGGAACAGCGAAATTATGACTACAGCCTTAGATGCTCCCTTGGCTTCTCCGGCCTCGCCACACTGCGCAGGCGTTCCGGCGGTCCTCAACTCTGCTCTTTGACCTACCGCCCCACCCCCCCCTCCTCCGCGGCCACCTAGCGGCTCTTCCGGTGTTGTGGAGGCGGTTCCGGTTCGCGGCGGTTCCCGGGTTTTGCGTTCCGCGCCCGGCCGGAAACCCCTTCGCATAGCAGCCGGTTCCGGTTCGGTGAGTGGCGGCGGGAAGCTGGGGGAGGGGTGAGGATGGAGGGAGCCTGGGCCGGGAGGCAGTGCCGGTCCGGGCCCGGCAGCCTGGGTTGGGCTGGGCGGAAGCGGGGATTCCTGTGGGGACGGCGCTTTTTCCTCTGCCCCGCCCCCTGGGACCACCTCCCCTCCCCCCTGCTGTCGGCCGCCCGCGACGGGGTCGGCGGCCGTTAGCTAGGCTTCTCGAGGCCGTTCCTTCAGGCCGCCTTCTCCCGGGCGGGAGAGAGGCCGTGTCCCTGCCGCTCCCGCAGGCCCCAGCTCCGCGCCCAGCCCCGCTTGCGGGGAGAGGGCCGGTTGGGATTTCGGGGCTTTCCCGCCAGAGCAGCGTCTTCTCTCAAGGGAAGGCTGTTTCCGCCGGGAAGCTCGGCTTTCTGTTACACCTGCTTCGCCTCCCGCCTTCCGTGAGACCTGAACGCTATTCCTCAGCTACTTCGGCGTCTCACGTAAACATTGCTCCAACTCTTTTACTCTGTGGTGTCTCCCTGAGCTGTGATATCGCTAGTGCCACCAGCAGAAAGAAACGTCCGGACCCTCCTGCCCAGGTTATGAAAATCCCCTTAACGGCCCCCGTTTGCTTACCTGGCTCATCGCCTCCCGGTAATTCCCTTGAACCGTCCCTCTCTTGGTGAACCCCAACGTGATCTCTCTGGATGTCTGTCCAGCTTCTCCTGAGCTTGGTGATTTCTGTTTATCGGCGCCTCTGCAGTATTTCCACTATCTTGTGGGCAATAACTTGCTCCTTTATCGCTTTCAAGTCAGCCTTGTTAAAGTCATTTCACTTCACGTTTGGTACACTTACTATATTTGGGGTGGTGGTGATTCTTGTAAAATTTGTATAAAGCCTTTCCATAGGCTACCAACTATCTGACTTGGGGTCCTTGTTCTAATTGGGTGTTCTGGATGGAGTAGGTGGCATCGTCTCCTAAATCTTTATAAAGATAGTTTGTGTGAAGGACTCGTGTTGAAATACAGATTACACTGAATTTGAAATTACAGTTAAAGTGAAACCTTAAGCATCTTTTTAAGCATGATCCCTTAACCTTCTAACAATTTAGAGACTCCCTTCCTTTTTTTTTCCCCTCTAGTCCCTTTTTGGAAGCCTCATTCATTTTTATCTTGAGAAGCCTCATGCATTTTTACCTCATTTCAATTAATTATCCTGACTGCAAAGATGGTCTTCATCTCCCCGGTCTGATGAGTTAAGTCTAGAGGGATCGAATAGATTAAAAAACAGGTTCTGCTACTTCAGGCGAAGGTGATGTAACTCTTGGCTACTGCTTTGAAGTGTTACCTTTTCTTCCCACGACTCCCACACCTCCTACCCATTGCACCAGTTTTATTGTTTTGCTGTGTCTGTTTATGGATCTGGCTTCCCCCAGTAGACAGTGAGCTGCTCAGCAGCAGTGACCAGTTTTTACTCATCTTTGTATCCCCAATGCCCTGCGTATAGTTAGTGCACAGTAAGTGTTTGTGTAGGAAAGAAGTTGAATACTTAGTGTTAAAGTGTTTGAGTGTTACAGTGTTTAAAGTGTTAAAAGACCAATTGAGAGAGGTTACATGTAAAAATATGAAAAACAGAAACAAATACATGATGATATAATACAAACTGTATCACATACATGATTGTTTTCCGGGTTTCAGAGTAGGGTGTTTCACATGATCACATCCACACCCTTCTCCTATCACAAATTATTCCAACCACATCTTGGTCCTGGATAAAGCTAACTGCACAATGCCTCTCCTCAATCTATGTTTTCTAGTAACTTCATCATAGCTGTAAACATTCTCTTTTATAATCACCTCTTTGAATATATGTAAGCTTGTAAATGTTTTACCATACTTGTTACATTCTGTTGCTTTCAGGACTTTGCCATCTCTTTTTTTCTTTCAGATTTCCTATTATCTTGTGTTCAGCTACTAACCTGACTTCACCTGAATACCTGTAACTGCATATGTTCTTTCAGTAAATTAAATGACCCATGTGAACTAGGAAATGAGTTGTTAGAATACTTTTCTTAAAAGCAAAATATTCTTATGCTTGCAAGAATTTTGTGGCATCAGAGATTCCAGATCCAGCATTTCATGTTGAATCTTGGGGTAGAATATCCCTTCTCCCAGTGTAATTGCAAAGTGGCAAAAGGAAAGTACCATAAGCATGCTGAAGAAGGTGGATATATTTGTATTAAAATGTAAATGTGGGGCTTTTTTTTTTTTTTGAGGAAGATTAGCTCTGAGCTAATATCTGCTGCCAATCCTCCCCTTTTTGCTGAGGAAGACTGGCCCTGAGCTAACATCCGTGCCCATCTTCCTCTACTTTCTATGTGGGATGCCTGCCACAGCATGGCTTTTCCCAAGCGGTGCCATGTCCGCACCCGGGATCCGAACCGGCGAACCCTGGACTGCCGAAGCAGAACGTCCGCACTTAACCACCCCGCCAACGGGCTGGCCCCTAAATGTGGAGCTTTAATTATTAAAATTATAAATCAGTGTGGATTCCCCAGAGTTAGCTAGTAGTTACTTTTATCTTGCCAAAGTGTATGAATCCTTGAATGAGGATGTGTTAAAGGATGTGAAGTTTTGTGGTGTTTATTGAAAAGCACATTTGCTTGGGAGTTAGGATGGCTGGATTTTTGTCTTCCTTTTGACCTGTGTGATTTCAAGCAAGTCACTTAATCCCTCTGGACATAATCTCTAAAATTCTTCGATTTCTTGCTTACTCCCCTCTTCCCATCTATCTTAGCAGTGCAAAGGAGGTTAACATGGGATTGTTCTACTAGGCACCAGGCTTTTAAATTGACATTCTTAATACAACAAAAAAGACTAGTGATGACAATTGTTAAATGGCCTGAAAGAGTGAAATAGGAAAAAGCCACTGCTGTTTTATTGGTTGATAGGATTTTTTTTTCCTTAATCTGGGACCCAGGGAATTCTACTTTATTTATTAAAAATGAAAGAAAGGGAAAGAAAAACCTGGAGAATTTCTATGTAGAAGCCTTTGGTTAAGTTAAGCATTTGGAAACATTTGAGACCTAAATCTAAGATTTAAATTCTTTGGGAGTCCTCCCTGGCAAGACTAGGTAATCAGATGATTACTCTACTTAATCAGTAGCTGCGCCAAGAAAAGCTCAAGCAGCCGTCCTTAGTGTGCACACTTCATTATTGGGACTATAAAGAATACCTGTTATCATCATCCAGTCTCAGCAAATTGAAGCCCTGATATTGCTACGTAGTTGACGAAGTGTTCAGTCTTTTAAAAGTATGGTGATAAGTCAGATTATGAAAATATACAAGTGTGACTATTACCATCCCTCGTCTCCTCCTCATGGAAATCTGCCAAGAAGCATGTGTGCCAAGGGTATGTTTATTAAACTATTCCCGGCAACTAGGCCTTTAACTTCCCTTTTCTGTGAAAATTAGATACATTAGAGGAGGAAATAATTTCATATAGCAAAGAGGCTTTGATTTGTAGCAGTTTGATTAATGATAAGGGAGAAAGTACTTAGTGCAACTGAGAAGTATTCCTTGATTGTCCTCAGAATATTTGGCCGCTGAGTAAGACGTATGGAAGAGAAGTGTCAATAGGACCACCACAAGATCTATGACTTGTGTATAAAATGGTTTAGCGTGAAGTAATAGAGCAATGGATTTGGAAGAATTTCTAGGTTATAATTTCAGAGTAGTCACTAACTAACTTTATGACCATATGCAAATTAATCTCCAAAAGTTTGACTCGTCCAGCTTACTTCTTGCTGTAATACTCTCTGATTCTGTGGATAGTCCTAATTGCTGTTTAGTATAGCATGGGTTACAGAAATGCTTAGAACTACCTCAGGCTAGTTTTAGTTTCCATTCACTTCCCATCAAGTCAGCTTTCCTTACCACCTTATATTTTTCTCCACTAAGAATACAAATATCACTTGTGAATGGCTTCCTGTTGTATAATTATTTGAAATAGATGTTTCAGAATGTAACATTTCTGTTTTCTTTCTTTTTTTTACAGGACTTTGTATCTTTGCTAAAGTCAGTGATGTGAAAAGACCTGACATGGGTAAGACTAACTGTGAACTATTCCTTCAATCTTTTAGTTACTCTGATTAATTAAGCTGGAGTGAAAGAATGGGTTTTCCTAACATTTTCAGTATTTGCATCTTTGTGCTTAACAATAATTTTAAGGGAGATCTCATGCTAATTATGTATACCAAACAATTTTCTTTTGGTTGGAACATTGTTTATAGTGTCATTTGGGAGCATTTTCTCATTCCTTGTATTGAGAAAGCTAAATACACACTAGCAAACATTTACTATATGCAAGGCCCTGTTTTAAGTGCTTAAAATATATTAATTCATTTAATATTTAAAATTGCCTTGCAAGGGCACCTAATAGTACCTACAATATAGGTACTGTTATTATCTCCATTATGTCAACAAGGAAACTGAGACCCAGAGGTTAAGAAACTTGGCTAGGGTCACACAACTATAAGTGGCAGCGCCAGGATTTAAACTCAGGCAGCCTGGTTCCAGAGTCCTTGTTCTTTAGCACCATGTTATACTGCCTTCTATATGATAAATTGTTTGAATAAGGTAAATTTTTCATTTCATTTAGCTAGTGGCATTGAGAATTAATTGTGAGTGGAACGTTTTCCACTATTCATAGTATTTTTATGTCTGTAAAGGGGATCGATACAGGTCAGGACTAGTAGCCAATTTAGGAATAAGTTGAAAAATTTGTGCAGTTAGATCTTATGACATCCCATACGCTCCTTTTAAATTCACATTGGTCGTCTCTCTACTTTCTGTTTTTCCCTTTTGCTTAGTCTACCTTCTCTCTCCCCTGGTTGGTTGTTTCCCTTTTCTGTCATTGCTGATGCCAGTGTAAGTCACTGAGTTCCCTTACTCTCATTCGTTCCTATATAGTTCTTTTATAGTAACAAAGGTCTCAAAAATGGTTTTAAAGTAAGTTTCTGCCATAGTGATTTAGTAATTGAGCTGATATCTGTTAAGAGCTATATAAATAAATTATGCTTTTTGCTGAAAAAAATTTGCACTTGGGTAAATTTTTACAGCACCTTTCTGAGTTAAAACAGAAAATAAATCAATGTTAACAGTGTTTATGTCTGAATGGTGAAATTTTTTCCCCGTGTTTTTAATATTTAAGATTTTTTCCCCACAGTTAAAACATTCAGAAATTTCTTTTGGGAAAATTGCATTGTTTTTAAAACTTTGAATTAAGCTCTTTTTATACTAGTACAAATTTTGAACTATTTGGTAGATGATCTCAGTGAATTCCAAATGAGCCATTTTCTGCACATGGACACCTTTTTTTTGACAATGACATTTTGAGATTTCTTGCCAGTGGTTAGTTATGAAGGAGAGGTTTTGTTTGACTGTAGAGTGTAGAGATATTCTTGGGGAAGCATTGTTATTAGGTGAAAATGTGATTCATGGGAAAGTAGTTCCTGAGGAATTATGTGACTTGAACTAATCTGGACTCTTTCCCCAGATGATATTGCTGATAGGATGAAGATGGATGCTGGAGAAGTAACTTTAGTGAACCACAACTCCATATTCAAAACCCATCTCCTGTCACACACAGGTTTTCCAGAGGACCAGCTTTCACTTTCTGACCATCAGGTTAGGAATAGTTTTCTTCTGTTAATTATATTACCTTTTTAAAATCAATAATTTTGGTGTTTGGAATTCTATTTGATATATTAAAGTTAAGACAAGAACTAGGCTGTGCATGAGTTCTTTGAGAACTGTGCCTTTTAGAAAACTCTGTATTATTCCTCTGAATATTACAGTTACCAATACACAGATTAGTGTTCTTTCAACCTAGTGTCTAAAAAATGCTGAGCATTAAATGGGGGTAAATATGTAAATATACAGTAGCTCTGAGATTTCTCTGTGCTATAAAGCTTAGTTTCTGAAAGGACCAGCAGCAGCAGCATCACCCGTGAGCTTGTTAGAAATGCAGAATCTCAGGCTTTACCCCAGACCTACTGAATCAGAATCTACATTTTAAAAATTCTCCAGCTGATTTATATGCGCATTAAAATTTGAGGAGCACTATTAATAAAGCAGTCTTTCTCAGGAGGAAAGCCATTACTGATTTGGATGAGACAATTCTTTGCTGTGTGAATCTGTCCCAACTATAGCAGAATGTTTAGCAACCTTGGCCCCTGGGCGCTAAATACCTGTAGCATCTGCCCCCAGTAATCATTCTGATAACTGAATATCTACAGATTTCCAGATTTATACTGGAGTGCAGCACTAACCCTGATTAAGAACTATCTCTGTAAATTTATCAAAAGAATCAAAAACAGGTTGATTTTGTCAGCCTGTTTGACATATGATATAACTCTCTTTCAGAACAGGGTATACTACTAAATGCATATTTACCTTCAAATGAGCATTCTTTGAATTAAGTTGTATAAGACATATTTTGCCCATTTTCCCCCTTGAAGCCTCGATCATTTCATCAGATTGTGTGTGTGTTTTCCTTTCTTATTAGTATGTAGCTTAATTTATTTATAATATGTATAAATATAACTATATTGAGTTCTGAAGTATGTCATAATGTTGTTTAATGATGTATTTTTCCTACTATAAATTTTTATTCCATTTTATTGTCAAAAATATGATTTAAGAAAGGTCTTCTGCTTTCTTTAGATTTTGCCTTCCAGGCAAGGAAATTTGGACCGATCTTATACATGTTCTACGAGAAGTGCAGCTTATAATCCAAATTATTATTCAGGTATGACACATTACTTGGAGTCAAGGCATTTATACCTTTTGGATTTCTTCCTAGCAAATTCTTTATGTTTACCATCTCTAAAAGTAAAAACATTATCAAAAGCAAAATGGTATTTACTCCACTAAAACATCATTTTAATAAGTTTTATGTGTGTGTGTATGTGGTTGCTATAATACTTTACTGATCTAGTCTCAACCAAGTATTTTCTGATGAAAAAGTTTTTTTGGCATCCATTCTCCTACTTGTTCATTATGTCATTATAAAAAGCAATTTGTTTTTGGCTTTTTTTTTTGGATATATGTATGTGATGTAAAGGATATTTATCTTGTATGGATTTAAAGTACAGACCTAGCCTGTTTCTATTCTGCTTGAAACCATAAATCCTGAAAATTTATCTCTATGCTCAAGCTTGTCCCTCTGTCAGGGCAGGAAATGTTAATAACATATTTCTATCTAGCACCTGCCACAGCCATGCTTGCATATTCAAGGACTTGCCTATTCAGCTTGTGATCCATGACAGAAGTCAGCATTCTCTAGGCTATTCCTAGCCCCTGGCCTGCCTGACTTTCATCTGCCCCTTTCCTAAGGTTTAGGTCTCCAATGATCTTCTGCCTCTGTCTTGGGGGAAAGGAAATTAAGAGTTTTTTGTTGGTTAGCTTCCTGGAGGTATGACCCAGGAAGATTATAGTGGTCTTCTTGTATCTTTTCACTCCTGATGCTTTAATCTCTTCACCTTGCCACAAGTATGGGAATACTAGTAATACCATTGAACTTGCCCCAATGGGATTTTTATAAGAATAAATTGAGATAATAAATATGAAATGCAAATAATAATTATTGTTGTTATTTGGCTTCCTCAGGATTCTTTGTCAGCAAGATGAGATCTCCTCCCCTAAAAAGACGTTAGTATGATGCTCTTTTAGATTTATATTATATTCAAATGTCATTTAGGTGGGTGGTACTTTACCCTGGGCACTGGGTTTCCTCTTCTGGGATGGGAAATGGTCTCCACCTGATATGTGCAAATTTGTGTAGAAAAATCAGTCTATTTGCTCAGAAAGTAACTCTGCCATCGTTATTATTGAAAAGGCCTTTCTGATGAGCAGAGAGCCTGAAATCTGATTTGATAGCTCATGGTTAATCGTAGGGGAAGGTAGTTGAGTGGATAATGAAATAAGATCCTTAATTTTTTCATTTGAACTCAGGCTGTGTTTGCTTATAATTTCATATGTTGATTTACCATTGGCCAGAATATTTACTTTTAGTTTATAATAAATGCTTAATAATAAGCAATTATATATAAAAAATTTCACTCAAAATCTCCTGACTATAACTCTACTCTTACTTAACTCTGTGGCCTTTTCTGATTTTTATCTGTGTGTACTTGCATGGTATACATTGTATGATTCGAAACATATAATCTTTTTTCAGCCCAATGTTTTTGTTTTTTTTTTCCATCTGTTTACATTAGTCTTCATATTTACCTTTTTCTGTTAATTTCTAATAATCCATGGAATTGATATGCACATTCACAATGCTTTACGTGCAATTCAAAATCCCAAAAGCTCTGAAAACCAAAAATTTTTTCACGATTCATTTGGCATCAAAACCTGAGCTGACCTGAATTCATTTCTTAGCAAAGACCTATGTAAACTGACATGAAGCTATTTACGTTTTGTGTTTTATTTTTTTATCTTTGTAAGTATGAGTATACATTTCATTGTAGATATATCAATATGTTTGATTACAGGGTGCTGCTTCGGATTATACTTGGAAGCATTATATAGTAGTGTATACCAGGTTATCTTTCTAAAATTCCAGAACTTTTTAATTCACAAACATGACTGGGCCAAAAGGGCCGTGATTTAGGATACTGGGCCTGTGCCTTCATTTGCTTCATTATTTCCCTTGGTTTAAGTCCCCTCACCTCACCATGTTCAGCTGTCATAACTGACATGACTTAAAGACATTTGCATATATATAGCTGTTTTCTTTTAAATTTCAGTAGACCCTTGATATTCACTAAGGATGTATCTGAGATCATCTCAAATCCTCATGATCTTGACTGTGATGATATTTAACCAGTTTCTTGGCTTTCTACTCAGTTACACGATTCTTGAGTTACATTTTTCCTACATTTGTCCTCATACCACAAATTGATCCCCATATCAAAATCTTACACTGAAGGTTTATCTCTCACTTGAAGGCCATTTTTTTAGGAAAAGAAAAAAAATTACTTTATAACAGTTACTGTATACATGATGATGAATAGAAGTAACAGCAGTGACTAATAAAGCCGTATCATGATAGGGCTGCTGAGCTGTTAGATCCGTTCTCTAAATTATAGCCTGAAGCAGAGGATTCAGATTTGTGCCTCTACCAAATTTCATCTAGTCCCTGACCAAGCAAACTTACATGTCACAGACCTCCAGGGTTGCTCCATAACAGTCAGAATTTTAAATCTGTGAATGCCAAGGGTCTATAAACTTTTTTCTTATAGTAAAACCTTTAATTCAAATCTAGTTTTTACTGTGTACTTTAACTTTGTTCCTTTGCCACACCCATTCCAGTTCGTTGCAAGTCCTGCAGAATTTGATCTCTGGTATCTCCTTTGGATCTATTCTTTTTTGATAATGCCCACGTTGATGTCTGTGGTCAGTCACCCCTAGCCTTTCCTCTTGATTGGGCTAGACGTGGGTCCCCAGTTTACCTGCCTTAGTCTTCTCATTCTGACTGTATTGGTATTTGTCTCCTCTCTCACCTTGCTGTCCTCTTCTCCACCAAGATGAAAGCAAATATAGGAAAGGCCCAAACCTTAGAATTTAGGGTCTGGAGCTTCCCATTTACTGCTTTACTGAATCTGCCTCTCTATAGCAAACTTTTTAAAAATCTGCTTCTTAATCCACTCAAGATTAGACTATTAAAAACATTGACTTTTTAAAAAGAAATTTTAGAATTTAGAAAAATGCGAGACTTCTACTTTAACAACTTAGTGCTAGTCTGACTTCAAGAACTCTTGATTTTATTAAGAGCGCAATTGAAAAGCAAACTAAAACTTTTTAAATCCTAAACAAAGAAAAATAAGTTAAGATGAAAAGAAATTATTTTGCTCATGCTTAGAATCATTATCAATGTCTTTTCTTTAGAAAATATGTTAAATTAGGTTGCCAAACTGGCATTCGGAAGGTAAGATGATTTAAAGCATTCTGCTATTTACAATAACTAAATAAATCCAAAAGTTAACAGGAACGACTGATGGTTACTTTCATAGTAAGTGATTGCCTGACACACTTTTTTAAAAATATCAAGTTTATTTCATTGTGTCCATAAAAGTATTTCGTGTCCTTGTAGAAAATTTGTAGAGAAAAGAAGAAAAATACCCATCAGTCTATCATTGGAACACAACCAAAATTAAATTTTTGGTATATTTCCTTATAGTTTTGTGTGTATGTGCACATAATAAGTAATCTTATTTGTGGCATTTGCAATCTGATTTCTTAATGATGGCAGAATACCAGTTTAAACCATCACTAAAAAAAGAATGTCTGCAGCCCCCTTTGGTCCCTATCTGGCTTTGCTTGATCGTGTCAGCAATAGAGGACTAGTCAGTGATTTCATTGAGTGGGAATGGAATCACCTTATTCTGGTTAAACAGACTGCCTGATTCTGTGCTTTTCCCTTGCATTTTAAAGCTGAAACCTGTGTCAAATGCCATTGAGGATGCTACTCTGGCTTATCTTTGCTCTCAAATTTCACCCTTGTCAGGGTAGTTTGCATTTTTGGTAGACTTACTCCTCAAGTTTGAGTAGACATCTCTGGTTATATCATTCCCTAATCAAATTCTGGCAAAAAGAGTGTGAGAGACAAAGATTTCTACTGTTATTACTTTGCATTTAAAAGATAATTTTATGGTCCTTTAATGAGACTCATTTTCACTAGCCTCATATCTCTATCCTTAAAGTAAAAGTAATAGATGCTAAGCATAGATATTGATTGCAAAGGAAAAAGATTATTCATTTTGACAATAAATTTTAATTTAATTAGTAGATGAGGTTCATCTACTGTGAATCAACTGGTACTAATACCACCCTGACTACTTCTTTTTTTCTCTTATTTACTCTAAATCCTGATAAACCTGATCAACTAAAAAAAAAAAAAATACAAAACTTATATTTTTGTCGGGTGCCTTACTTTTTGGATAGAGTATCAAAAGCTGCATTAAATATTTTAAATAATATAAATATATGATATTGTGCAAAGTTCTATAGTAATATGCTTTGAAAAAAGATCTTCAAAATGATGTCATCATTAGATAAAAATTCAGGAAGTAGAGAATTACCTTTCTCATTTTTCTACTGGTGCTCCTCAGAGTTCCATAGCCTAACAATTGAAGTATTTTCAAGGTGCTGTTTTAAATTATTCAGTCCTGCTGAAGGGCGAAGAGGGTAGAGAAATTATTCAACTTCTAGCTGAAACTTCAAGAGATTTTTATAATCCCCACTTGTAAGCCACAAGTCAGAAAATTCAAATAATAAACAAATAATCCTCACTTAGTCTGATTGCAGTAGCAAGCATCAGAGTATTGATATGTCTGATGATTATGGCATTAAGTGACTGAAGGTTATCATACCAGAACCAGATGCATATGATGGGTCATTCCTGCCAAAAGCCAGCCAGAATAAGCAGCAATTAGGTTATCTCTGCTCTTAGAAGAGCCCCTGAGTTGTGCACATGGTAATTAAAAACAAGAAAGTGACACCAGCTGCTTATTAAGCAATAACTGTTGTTCATTTGAATTACAATTCTCCTTGGCCCTCCACCTGCTTTCTTACTGGTCTGGCCTACCTTCTTTCAGGCCCAGGCCTGGGAGTGCTTGCAAGATATAGTTGGGGTAAAATGTTGACTTTTGGTGGACACCACGGAGTCACATTGATGCAGATAAGGCACATGGCTGTGGCAGGATTCAGCTCCTTCATCAATTTTCAGGTTAGTATGGCTGAATCAATTATAGTTTATAGAAGTTCCCTTACTGCAGACTTACTGGCAGTTGAGACTGGGATCTTTCTTCCGTGAGAGACATGGTGGTATGCCACATTACTTTGGAATACAATGTTGGACATGGCTGCAGTCATATGGAGAACCACTATAGGTATTTGTTTAATTTATTCAAACTTTTATTCTTTTAGACAACCCTTCCTCAGACAGTTTTCTTGGCTCAGGAGACTTAAGAACCTTTGGCCAGAGTGCAAACGGCCAATGGAGAAGTTCCACCCCAGCATCAAGTTCAGCTTTACAAAAATCAAGAAACAGCCGAAGTCTTTACCTCGAAACCCGAAAGACCTCAAGGTAGGTATTCTGGCTGCTTAGTTCACAAGCCCTTCCTTCGAACTAAGAGAAGATGGCTATAAGATAGCTGTTACATTGGCATTTTATAAGAGGAACACCATTTTTGAACTTTAAACCATAGAACTAGGGACAAATCTATTTTAAACTTTCAACTTTTAATTTACTTGGTGCTGAATTTTGGTGGCAGCCAAATCTTATCATTAGAGGAGAGAGTATTGAAGGAAGTCTTGATGGATATGAGTATATTGGGACCCTTCAGGATGAATCTGGCTATTATGAATTTTAAGGTGAAAATCGGTCAATTTCTGCAACTTCAATAGCAAAGAAACCAGCACATTTTATAGGCTCTCACGAGCAGAGACCTAACTTAAACCAAAGCAGCTCTGCACCTTATGGCCTTAGTCAACTAGACGTAAAGTCACGAAGAACTTTATCCTATTTAGCCCAAGTTCATAAGCCCTAGCTATTCCCTCACCAAGCTTATGCTGATTGTTTAGTCAGAGGAAGTTTGGCTTAGAAACTTTTCCCTCAGGCACTTTCTTATATTAGTAAAATATTTGTTTTTTAAAATAGTATTTGTGACTAAAATTTTACTCTGGTGACGGATTGTAGGAATGTGGGATGACTTAATTTCCTGCAAGTTTAAGCTTTCTGGTATTGATTGAAACCAACAAGATGGCTTTTATGTTATGATTATCAGCACATGGACTCTGGAATCGTGTGTCAGTACTCCCAGGGATTGTCTTCCCCACTTCTTAATATTTTTTTAAATTATACAAGAATTCATTAATACATTCACATTGTAAAAATTAAAACATTGCTGATAAAGCTCAAGATCTCTTCACCACTACCTCCAATCTTATTCCCCACCCCTGGTGTGTTTCATTTCAGACCTTTTCCTCTGCTTGTTTCTCTTTCACTCTTTCTTACTCAGATAGCATGATATATATGCTATGTATGCTATGAAATGTGTAATATTATTTTGTCTTCATTAAAGATATTCTATATGCATCATTTGGCAAGTTGCTTTTTTTACTTAATGGTGTCATACTGTTAGTTTTTAAAAACATTATTACAGAAACAGTACATGTGCTTTGTAAAAAATTAGAAAATAAGCAAAGATAAAAAATTAGAAGATAAGAAAAAATAAAAAATAAAAACATCATGTTCCTACCAGCCAGAGAGATCACCTCTGTAATATCTTAGTAAATATCCTTCCAGATGTTTCTCTCTGCATTTTCACACTTTTAAAAAAAAAAAATGAGTTCATACTGTGCATACTCATTTGTAATCTACTTTTTTAGTCAATCATCTCCTCTTTTCCATTCAGTAAATTTTATCATGTACACTAACTGAATTATATTTAAATTTTCCTAGTTGACCCAAAAGTATCCTTTACAGCTAATTTGTCCAAATCAGTATCCAATCTAGGACTGTATCTGGTAGCTATCGCCCTTAAGTTTTCTTCAACCTAGAATAGCCCTTTTTTTTAATGACATGACTTTTTTCTTCATAATCTCCCACCTTTTGGATTTGACAGGTTTCTTCCTTATAGTATGGTTTTATTCTCTATATTTTTTGTGAAGTAGATTTTTGACTTGAATAAAAGCTGATGTTGTGTTGCATCACATTAGGAAACCTATAATATCTTAATCTTCTATCATTAGTGATACTGGGTTGGCCTCTGGCTTAGGAAGATGACAGTCTAGTCCTTAATTGTACAGATAAATTTTTTTTGCGCTTGTTTCTAGAATGTAATCTAAATGATGTTACTTTGGCATTATATGAATGAACAGTTTCAGGTCAGCCTAAAACTTATTAGTATCAACTGATAATCCTTACCACATAATAATTTTTTTAATTGCGGTATAATTGACATATAACATTATGTTAGTTTCAGGTATACAACGTAATGATTTGATATGTGTATATTGTGAATTGATCACTGTGGTAAATCTAGTTAGCATCTATCACCAAACATGGATATAAAATTTTTTTCTTGTGATAAGAACTTTTAAGATCTACTCTCTTAGCAACTTTTAAATGTCCAGTATAGTATTATTAACTGTAGTCACCATGCTGTACATTACATCCCCATGACTTTATTTTATAACTGGAAGTTTGTACCTTTACACCCCTTTTGACCTGATAATTTTATTAGAGTTCATGAAATATTTTTCTAGTTTTATCACTTCTTCTATGCTTATTAATTGGTCCTCTGCTATAAAGGTGAGCTTTTTCCCCTCATTAGCTGGGGCTATTTGATTACCCCGAAATGTATTTCCTACTGGGAAGGCAGGACATAGGATTAGATATTTCTTTTTCACTACCAATTTTCAGGGTAAGTTTTTTTCTTTTAATAGCCACTCCATGTGGTTCAAATGAATTTTTCTCTTCTTTTTTTAGTATAATTATGGATTCAGTGTGTTTCAATCCACTACAATCATTGTTCTTTTAATGTTCGCATTCTCACAACTTTGGCCACTAGGAGCTTCTTCAAGCTTACGTCTATGTCTGACCCAACCTCATTAATTGTTGGTAGCACCCTTGCTTTCTGGCATTGCAAAATGCCCTCATACTGGTTTTTTTGAGGAAGATTAGCCCTGAGCTAACATCTACCACCAATCCTCCTCTTTTTTTCTGAGGAAGAGTGGCCCTGAACTAACATCCATGCCCATCTTCCTCCACTTTATATGTGGGACTCCTGCCACAGCATGGCTGGACAAACAGTGCATAGGTCCACACCCAGGATCCAAACAGGCAAATCCCTGGCTGCCAAAGTGGAGCATGCGAGTTTAACCACTGTACCACTGGACTGGCCCCTTCATACTGTTCTTTAGAAAAAAGGATCTTTTGCATTAAAAACACACACACATACCCTAGGAAGCATAAATACAAAAGACATCGTGGGGAATTTATTATATTTTTATCAAACAAATTATACTGCCCTTATCATCTTTTCCTAGCTGCATGCATCCATCCTGAGAAAATAAACCTTTCCTGAAATTGACTCCTTGCTTCTTTCCCCACTCTAGCACACATAGAAACCATTAGAGTTTGAAGAGTTAAAGACAGTGAGTATATGTGCTTTTTGATTTTCTTTAGACTTAGTCTGATTCATTTGGATCCAGACCACATGTACTGATTTGATGAGTTGATTTCATTGAATTCAGCTTGGTCAGCTTTGTATCTCTGTTCTGCATCCTCAGGGAAAAAAAGAAAGAAAATTCATTATGCTGAGAGCAAGTCTCTCAGATTTGCTGGGTGATGACAGATGAAAAAGAGCGCATAGAAAAAGCTTTAAATTATTAACCTAGCCTTACAGACAAGACTGGATTTTGAGTTCACAAAAATATTTTTCCTGCCGATTTTTCCCATTATTTGGGGGCACAAATGGTATGAAGAAACAAAAACAAAATTCTTCTTCAGAGGAGATCAGTACTGAGGCTAGAAGGAGAATTCACAGAGAATGATGCAGCCTAATAAAAAGCCTTCTGGTTGTTTTTAATGAAAGGTGGGAGCCCTCTGTTGGTCTTTTAGAAAATTTTAAAATCAGTTTAAAAACTTAGTTGAGAGACTTCAGCTTTATTCATCTTTGCTTATTTAATTTTAAAATAATTCCCTCCAAAGGGCTTGTTGGAGGTGGCTGCGAGGAGTAAACAGAAAGTGTGTGTGTATCCTAGCCTACCTGGAACCCAGAATTTCTGGAGCAGTCTGATCTGATATGCTTTCTGTCGTACTACACAGGTCTGTGGTTCCTGACCAAAGGAACTTATAGATTGTGAAGCTAAGAAATACAGTTTTAGGTGTTTGATAATTATATAGTTTAGCAATCTAAGACCTCTTCAGTGGCAGAACCTGATTCAGCAACCCTTGTGTCATCTCTTATATATTTCCTCCAAATGGTACATCTGTCATTCTACCTGTTAATTTCTTGTTTTTGTTATTTCTTTTTATTTATTTATTTATTTTAAATATTGGCACCTGAGCTAACATCTGTTGCTGATCATCATCTTCTTTTTTTACTGTTCTCCCCAAACCCCACAGTACACGGTTGTATATTGTAGTTGTAAGTGCCTCTGATTGTGCTCTGTGTGGCACCACCTCAGCATGGCTTGATGAGCAGTGCCATGTCCACACTCAGGATCCAAACCGGCGTTACCCTGGGCCACCAAAGCAGAGCACGTGAACTTAACCACTCAGCCACGGGGCCAGCCCCCTGTTATTTCTTAAAAGTGAAAATAATCACTAGGTTAGATTTTCTTACTGTTGTTAACTTTTCTTATAAACTCTTTTATTTTTTTAGTGGATTATCAAACACTTTTATGGGAAAGTCAAACCATCACTGCCATGTGTCTGCATATGAAAAATCTTTTCCTATTAAGCCTGTCCCAAGTCCATCTTGGAGTGGTTCATGTCGTCGAAACCTTTTGAGCCCCAAGAAAACTCAGAGGCGACATGTTAGTACGGCGGAAGAGGTAAGGAAAACCTTTAACAAAAGCTTCTAAAGGTTAGAATCTTGCCCTACATTCAGCCATTTGTTCCCTCTGATTTAGATGTTTATTAACCATTCCATTTACTTAATCTATTCTGTACTTTTTCTTAATTATTTGTTTTGAGTGCTATCTTCTGTTCTAAAGAAATTAAAGAGATATTTTAGCAAGACTTCATTGTTTTTCATACCATCTTCTATTCCTGTTGGACAGCAGACTTAATCTTCGGTATTGTCTGAATGGCTTCTCATACATCAAACTCTCTCTCTTTTTTGGATCCTTCCTAAACTCCTGTTTCATGTGGCGAAACTGTTAACTTTGCTGGATTTAATAAAATACCTGCTCTTACTAGGACAATTTTTCCTCAGTATAAAAGAAAAATTAAGAAGCCAGATAATTTATATCCTTTCATTATGAATAAGATCTTTGAGATCATAGACTTTCCCCAAAAGAAAGATGTTCTGTTGACACTTGGGTTGTTATATTCATTCAGTAAACCTACAGGAAAAAAATCAATTCTGTAAATATAATATAGCGTATAATTTATGCAATAGGAAATGTGCTTATACCTGTTCAATTAAGTATTTATTATGTATCTGGTCAGCTTTGGACTGGTTGCTGTGGAGATACAAATGAATAAAAATAACCTCACATTTATATAGCATTAGAGTTTCCAGCGTGCTTTCCACACGTATTATTGTTTTGAAGCCTTTTAACCCTGTGGAATAGGTAAGAGAGGAGGTGATATCCACATTTTACAGATTTGGAAAGTAAAGGTCAGAGGTCACACAACTGGTAAGCCTGCAACCCAGGTCTTCTGAAGGAATCTAGCCTGGTATGCTTTCTGTAATACAACACTGTGATGTGGTTCCTGCCCATTGGAGCTTACAAATCATGGAGTTAAGAGCACAGACATGTGTCGCTTAATGACAGGGATGCAGTCTGAGAAATGCATTATTAGGTGATTTTTGTCATTGTGCAAACATCATAGAGTGTACTTACACAAACCTAGATGGTATAGCCTTCTATGCCTAGGCTATATGGTGTAGCCTATTGCTCCTAGGCTATAAACCTGTACAGCATGTTACTATACTGAATACTGTAGGCAATTGTAACTCAATGGTAAGTATTTGTGTATCTAAACATATCTAAACATAGAAAAAGTACAGTAAAAAATACAGTATAAAAGATAAAAAATGGTGTACCTGTATATGACGCTTACCATGAATGGAGCTTGCAGGACTGAAAGTTGCTCTGGGCGAGTCATGAGCGAATGTGAAGTCCTACGACATTACTGTACATTACTGTAGACTTTATAAACACTGTACAGTTAGGCTACATTAAATTTGTAAAAAAAGATTTTTCTTTCTTCAATAATAAATTACCCTTAGCTTACTGTAACTTTTTTACTCTATAAACTTTTTAATTTTTTTGACTTTTTGACTCTTGTAATAACACTTAGCTTAAAACATAAACACATTGTACAGCTGTACAAAAATATTTTCTTTCTTTATATCCTTATTTTGTAAGCTTTTTTCTATTTTTAAAATTTTTAAACTTTGTTTATGTTTTCAACTTCTGTTAAAAAACTAAGACAATCACACATTACCCTAGGATCGGAATGATCAATAGCACTGTCTTCCACCTCCACATCTTGTCTCCCTGGACGGTCTTCAAGGGCAGTAACGTGCATGGAGCTCTCGTCTCCTATGATAACAATGCTATCTTCTGGAGTACCTCCTGGAAGACCTGCCTGAGGCTCTTCTTGAGGAGGTGTCACTTTTCAGAAATGTGTCCTTGGTAGTTTGCCTGGTCTCTTTCCTTTTTTTCATCCTAGATTTGCTTGTAAGCAGATAGTGCACGAGGAACATTCCTCTCTATTAATGAAAACCTTTTGGTGTTCAGGTCCATTTTTTCAAATTTTTTAAGGAGCTTGTTGAGGTCTGCAAAATCTGCTAAAATCTTCACTGTGAATTTTCTTGGGAGTTCTTCTTTTTCTTCTCCTGCAGTTTCCTTTTCTTTGCCTCTTCTTCAGCTTCTTCATTCCTGTTCCAGTTCTTACAACTCCTCATTAGTCAGTTCCTCTGGAACCAACTATAGGAGCTCCTCAGTGTCATCCCCATCCACACCCAGGTTAAGGTTGTTTGCCTTCTCAACCACAGCCTTCTTGATTTTTGTCACCTCCTCATCCTTGGCAAATCCTTTGAAGTCACTGATGAACCTCTTGAGTATCTTCTTCTGGATGCTATTCATACACTCCTTGATAACATCACCCCAAACCCAAGCAGGGTTCCTGGTACAGTCATATATGTTGGAATCCTCCCAGAATTGGATCAATGTCTTCCTCAGTTGCAGCAATAGCCTAGGCAAAGGTCCTCCTCAGGCAGTAGGCCTTCAAAGCTGCTATATCTCCTTGATCCATTGGTTGGATCCAGGAGGTGGTGTTTGGAGGGAGAAACACCACTTTGATATTGGGATGAAGGTCACCAATAAAAGGAAGATGTCCAGAAGCATTATCAACAATAAGCAAAATCTTGAAAGGTATGTTATCCTCCAAACAGCACTTCTCTATTTCTCTGGCATGGCAATTCGGAAGGGCGTCTTGGAAGAGGAACTGAGTCATCCATGACTTCTTATTGCTCCCATAGTATAGCATCACTAGACGATGGGAATTTTTAGCTCCATTTTAATGTTACAGGATCACCATTGTATATGCGGCCCATTGTTGACTGAAATGTCATTGTGCAGCACATGACTGTATGGCAGTATGTGCCAAATAATTATATAATTTGGTAATGAAGATCTCTTAGATGGCAAAACTTGATTATTTGTGAAATGGTTAGTAAAAATGCTGTACACTTTTTAATTTTAAGTTTGTATTGAATCTAAAATATTCAAGCAGAGGGTGGCAGAACCAGTAAATCATATTTAGCAGGGCAAAGGATAGACAAGAAACTGGCAACAGTTGTCTTTGGTAATAAGAGCTGAGCAAGTTATGAAAGGGATATTTACTTTTCACTGTACCTTTTGTGCCATGTATGTAATAGTTATTATATACATAATTTTTTTTTAATTACTGGAGTTGTGGGGATTGTGCTTCTGCTGGAGCCTAGGCAGCCTATGGATACAGAGAGACTTGTGGGGAAAGAGACAGCAACAGCTTGGCAGCTGGATTCAGGCCTCTCAGACCTCCCCTGCCCCATGTGGCTGCTGCTGGGATCACCAAAATCCTTTAGACTGTTCGTTGTAAGCCCACTGTTTCAGTCACTAGCCAGCCTGTCCTTTGGACCACTCAGCCCCTCTGCCTTCTGCTTCCACTTCCAGCCTGAGGACTTGGGCTGGCCTGGTAATTTTATCCTTCCAACCAACCCTCCAGGCCACAGGCTGGGGCAATGGAGGACATGAAGCTGGAGTTCCCCTTCCTTCTACAATGTCAAGAAGATGCAAAGGATTGAACCTGTCCTATGAAATGAGATGCAGGAAATTTTGCTTCAGTTGTTTTTAGGTCCATATTCTGCTATGAAAAGCAAGTCACTCATAGTACAGAAACATGGAATAACCCCTATACTATGAATAAGATGAACTATTGGACCAAACTTTATTAAACTTTCCACAGATTATTTCAATATTTAGTCTTGGATATTACAGATAATCCAGATTAAAATATACTTTTTTCCCTGGCACTAAAGAATTTATTGATGGCCACTTACAAACTAAAGGAAAAGTTATTTTCCATGGAAATGTTGGGATCTCCAAGGGAGATGCAATTGCTTATGTTAAAGAAGGAAAGTTATGTGTTAATCTTACTGCTGGATTTGTCCGTCACCTTCAGGAACATGAAGCCATCTACAAAATTAACATGATGTCACCACTGCACTGTTCAGTCTTACAACAGGGGTTTGAAGAGAATACGTGAAGAAAAAGAATTTGGAAATACACAAGTGGTGGCTGTACCACCACTTGGCTGATGGATGATTCAAAGGCATCATTAAAGAGCTGTACTTTCCAATAAGAACATGTACTTTTTATACTTGAGATTTATTTATGTAGTATAAGGCTATTATTTTAAACAAAATCAGGTTTAGGGGATTTATGAAGTTATTTGGGTGATCTATAATAGGATTTACTGGTTTGCTAAAATTTATTTTATGTTCTCTTAAATTTTTATAATTTTACGCTTGAGTTTTATGATGGCGCCTCTTACAGACACATCTAAATACAAGAATCTGTCCATTTTTTTCTTAGTAGAATTCAGCACCTTTATAACCCTTACACTGTTTTAGAACTTTCCTTGGTCCTTTATTAGGTTTAAAATGTAACATTAGCCAACTTCCTTTACTTAAACAAATTATCCAATTATTGCTTCCTTTCCTCTTAATTTCCTAATTTGCTTACTCAATAGAAACCAATCTAATAAATAATGTACAGAGAAAGATGTTTTCTTTACTTTATAGTACCAAATGCTGCAAAAGAGGATTGTTTTTAAAGTTTCAAGTGACTTGATGTCTTTACATTTTCTTTGGTAAAGCCAGGTGTTATGTATGTTCTTTTGAGAGTTGCCTAGACTGTCTTTTATTTGTCTGAGATGGTTCCAGATAAAGTATAACATACCCAGTGTTTTTTGTTTTAATGAAACCCAAAAAGGAAAAGTACCATGTATCATTTTTTTAAAAAAGATAAATTCTGGTGATCTTCAAATTAGTATGCAGAATAGTGAAAAGTTCTTAACCTTTTTTCTATAATTTCTTTTTTAAACCATAAATTAGTTTAAACTGAAAGTATGAGGCTTGAAGAGACCTCAGATAATTATTTGGAATATGGAACATCTATTCCTGTCTATTTTATGTTGTCTAATGACTATGAGATTGTCCGGGCTCAGACGGAAGCTTTCTTTCAAGGTATATTTATTGGGGAAAATAATTTGTGGGGGGCTTTGTGTTAAATTGATTTTAAAAGATCAGTTCTTTACATCGAATTAATCTATATTTCTTGTTATTTGCATTAGCTGAGTCACTTAATGGCATCATGGTTCTTCATGTTTTATGTATAAGTATAAAAATTTATTCTAAGAAAACATTTCGCTATGTAATGTGAGGGAGGAGGGAACTTTTTATGGTTGAAGTCTTTACCACAAAGATCCTTTCTCTTTTCTTTCTATTTGTGCTCAGTCTTCTTTTGAGGTTTTTATGTGATGGGGATAATTCTTCAGATTCCCTTGGTTTGCAAACTAACCTCTTACACCAGTTTATCTGCTTTACTTTCCTCCCTATGATGTGATGATACAGTCAAAGCTTTTTAAAATGTAGTTTGGTGGAACCATGGAAATGAACTAAAATGATTGGTTGATTAAGAGTTACCTTCCATGACCCAGGTGGTATTCCTCTTCTGATTTCCCTTCCCTCCCTCATTTTTACCACCTCTGAAAATAACATACTGTTAACCCCCTTGTATTGTGGATTAGGTTATTTGGTGTAGTGGGAAAGTGGAGTCAAGATTTACAGTGTGGGGTATGCAAAAATTCCACTCATTAAAGTGCCACATAACAGATTTCCTATCTATGGATCACGATGGAGTTGGTTGGCAAAGATCTTTCTTACAATCTAATAATCTGTAATGATGCTTTATTCTTTAGACTGTCTACTTAAAGAATCTTCATAATAGCAAATTTAGCTTTTAATAAAGAAGGATTTGTTTTCATTATAGTTTTTAAATTTGTTTCTCAAATACTCATATCCTTTTCAGTAGCATAGCCGAAAACAACAGATTTGGTTATTGGTATTAATTTATACCCGATAATTGTCTCTTTCTAACCAGTGTAATTTTTGTGCTTTCACTGAAGTACACCCAATGCTGTAAACAGTCTCTTCACAAACACTAGAAAAGAGGACTGCCAACATCTTGAATATGATGTTAACATCCAAGGGATAAAATAATGGGGTTTATTTTCTTCCTATAGAACATTGCAAATTTGTTTTTTCTCTTGGATCTATTTCTCCACCAAATGCTCAACTAGTTCTACCTTTTCTTATCACTCAGCTATTCAAATTTAAGGATAGCTCTTTCTCATAAGGAGTTGTCATGCCTCACAGTTCAAGGTATATCTTGCTAGATCAGTAACATTATACTAACAATGTGATTGAAATTTACTTTGTTGCAAAAGTGATCCAAGAAGAAAAAACTTAGTGTGTGTTTACCTTTGGATAGATAATTGCTTAATTCATTTTGCTTTTAACAAACATTTGTAATTGAATAAAATGTTTATGTACATATTGAAATGTTACAGTGCAAGATGTTGCTAGCCCTGGCACAAAGTATTAAAATTATTTTGTGAAGATTGGTGGTTGTATCAAACTGTATATAAGACTGAAAAAATAAGTACTGGAGCATGTTATTTAGTGAATGCAGCCCGTTGCTTCAGGGATCTGTATAGAGTAGATACTTTACCATGGTTACAAGTTCTGTAATCAGGTTCTCTGCTAAGTGACTTCATCTCTTACTACTCTTCTCCTGATTCCCAGTGACCTTACTCTTCCGTGGCCACATCACATTCCTGTCTCAGCCTTTGCATTTGCTGTTCCTTTACCTGGAGTTGTCTTTTATAAATTTCTCTTTCTTCCTCCTTTGACTTAAGTTTCTGTTCAAATATCACCTTTTTAGACAGGTCTTACCTATTCCTGCTGTTCTCTCTCCATCATTTTCTATTCTCTTATCTTTAATTTTCTTTATACTACCTCACTAGTTTTTTGCTTGTCAGTCTCTTTAACTGTAACGTAATCTCCACAAGGGCAGAGACTTTATTTTATTAAATGCAGTGTTGCTAGTGACTGGAGCACAGTAGATGTTTAAGTTAATAAATGAATGAATGAATGTTATGGAGTATGTGCTTTTCCCTAAATTCACTTTGGGGACTTAAGAATAAACGGTAAATAAATGTTGGTGATGAAAACCATCTCTGGAAAATACTTACACTCTTAAAAATTAGATAGAAAAGAAAACTGTTAGCAAGGTATCCCACTCTGATCTTGACTGTTCTGGTTACTTCCTTGTGATTGTTCTAACAGATATCAGGAACAAAGAGGTTAGTTGGAATCCTAATTTAGAGGTCCTCAAATGTTTTATTTCTGGGACTCTGTCAGTTGATTCAACAGTGATTACCTACTAGCCTTCTGGTTTCATATCCTATAGCTTCTCTGCACTATTATTTACATATGTGCCCCATAATTTTCCAAAATATGCTTTCTGGTATTTACTTCCTTCAACTCCTCTTATATACACTTTATAATTTTCCAGAATATCCTTAATGAACCATAAATCTTAATTATCTTGAGGACTCTGCTTGAGCTTTGGCAGAGCTTCTGGGAGGCTAGATGTTACTTTGAGAAACACTTGCCTTGTTGGATGTGTTTAAGATTCTTTTTTCTTTTATAGACAGTACAAGAAGAAGAAAGAGAGATTTACAGACAGCTGCTACAGATGGTCACAGGGAAACAGTTTTCTGTAGCCAAACCCACCACACATTTTCCTTTACATCTGTGAGTCACAGAAACATATTTCAAATGAATTTAATTAAACATTTTATTATTTGGTATTGAAACTATATTCTTCTCTTGCTAGGTCTCGATGTCTTAGTTCCGGTAAGAATACTTTGAAAGACCCACTGTTTAAAAATGGAAACTCTTGTGCAGCTCAGATCATTGGCTCTGATACTTCATCATCTGGATCTGCCAGCATTTTAACGACCCAGGAACAACTGTCCCACAGTGTGTGTTCCTTATCGTCTTATACCCCAGATGTTGTTGCATTCGGATCCAAAGATTCTGATTCTCTCCATCAACCCCAACATCACCACTCTCTTCCACATCAGCCAGATAACTTACCGGCTTCAAATACACAATCTGAAGGTAAAAAATGATAAGTGTATACCCATATTTTCAATCCTAATTGCCAGTTAACTGTTTATGGGAGCTATATGAATTATAGGCAAGGTTGTAATATACATGTAACATATAATTGTTGTTGTTGGTGCTGTTGAGTCAATTTGAACTCCTAGCGACCCTGTGTAGAACAGAGCAGAACCCTGCCCACGCTTTTTGCACCATCCTCTTACCTTCTGCCGATATATCAGACTGAAACCTGTCAACCCTGGGTAACCCTGCTGATATTTGAAATACTGGTGGCGTACCTTTCAGCATCACTTCAGCACGCAGCTGCCACCATATGACAACCAACAGATCGGTGATGTGGTTCCCTGACTGGAAATGAACTCGGGCCGTGGTGATGAGAGCCCCGAATCTTAACCACTAGACCACCAGGGCTGGCTCATTAACATATAAGAGACCTTAAATACATATAATTCGGTTAGCCATGCCACACGTAAACTAAACCTACAAGTAACTTACCTTTTTCTTACATGGAGATGCAAATGACTTCACATAATATTTTATTTAAAATATTAACTTCCTGGCAGAGTCTAGAGTCAGACTACACTCAGCCCAATTACTTGAGTACTTTCTCTGTTTTTAATACTTTATAATGAAAATTAAGTACTCTGAAGTTCTAGGAGTTTTGGAACATCAATTAAGTATTGAAGTAAAAGTTCTTAACTAGGTAATATTTACAAAACCTGTATAGGTTTATGCATTTTAGAATGATCATCAGCAAGTTTTGGAAACAGAGAGTTTTCTACCCAACTTTCAGCCAACCAAAATATTCAGTCTCTTAGCATTCCAGTTAATTAAGGTTTTGCTATGATAATTTTCTTTGCTTAGTTTTCCCCTTCTTTAGGTATGTGTTATGTGTGTATTTATGGTATGTATGTATTATGTAACTTAAGTTTTAGGTTAAGTGGTTAGACATTAGGGATCTTGTGATCAATTTCTGAGCCTCCTTCCTCAGATTGTTTTATTTATCTATTTATTTATTTTTTTACTCTAGTCCTCACTTTCTTAAAATTCTCATTTGGGGATTAAAATTGTTAGTGGCATCATTATATAGCTACACATATTCATAAAAACTTGTATTAAATTTTGTGAGGTGATTTACTGAGAACTGTTATAAGAAAATGCCTTTCACCTCAGAAACATGCACTGTATGGCAGATGCTTAGATACAACTCACCTGGAACAAACATACTACATTGAACTGTTCAATTACTTTCCTTGTACCATTTAATAAATATTCTAAATGAGATTCCTGCCTTTATCAACATAGAAAATAAATGATCCGATTTAATTTGTACTTTTTAGACTCTGCTACTTCTCCTATTGCTGTTTCTCTCTCTTTCTGCCGTCCCTCTCCTTCCTCTCCGGTTCCCCTTTCCTCTTTCACCTTATCCAATTTCACCGAAGTTCAAGGACTAAAGACTTGAGAAATAATGTCATGTTCTTGTTCCCCAGAAAGAGGAAAAGGAAGCACAGGGAGAAAGTGCAGCCTAGGAGTAGTTGTTGACGGGCAGATAGACTTGCAGTTTAGAGTGACTGCTTCACTTGTGGGGCAGGCTCTTCACTAAGCCCTATTTCTGGCTCAGTGAAGATAGACCTGCTTCTCTTTCTCTTCCATTGTACCTTTATTCTTATGCTATGTTATTTTTATGGAAATGGAATGTAACAAAGTATGAGAACTTAAACTACAGACATCTAGAATGTATAACTCTGTGGAATTTTATTAATAATGATATGCTCTTGTGTTTCTTTGTTCAGGATCAGACTCTGTGATTTTACTCAAAGTGAAAGATTCCCAGACTCCAGCTCCCAGGTAAACTGTGAAAAAAGGACATTCTTAACATATTGTTTTCCCTCTCTTTGATCACAGCTTCTTCACTAAGAGTTACATAATATAAAAGTAAAGCTGCCTCAATTCAGACTTCTCTCACGTGTTATTTGAATGATTTCAATGACTGTCTGATTAGTCTTCCTTCTTCTGGCCTTCATTTTGTTCTTCATTTCATCTTCCACCGTGTTCTCTAATCCCTTATTTGCCTTCTTCTTTAGTCCGTCTTCCATTCTGCAACCAGAGTGATCATTATAAAATGCATGTCTGATCGTTAAACTCCCTCCAGGGTGGCTTATCAGACATAGAGTCAAGCCCAATCTCCTTAGTATGGTACAAAGCACTTCCTCCCAAGCCTCACTTCCTATCACACGTTCTTTCCTTTAGTAAGTAAGTATTTATCCGTAGCCTTCTATGTGCCAGGTACTAGTACGGACATCAGGGATATCAGCAGTGAACAAAATGAAGTCCCTGCTCTCAGGGAGCTTATTAGGTGTACAGGGTGTGTGTGTTGCGGGGAGGGGGGAGGGGGGGGCCACAAAAAGTGAACAAACAAACATATAGACCTAGTGGTGATAAGTGCTGTGAAGAAAAATCAAGCAGGGTAATACATAGACTGGGGTTGTGGGGTGCTATTTATCTAGTATGGTCATGGCAAGTCTCTGATAAGGTGACATTCGAGGACATTCATGATGGAGGTGATAGAAGGACCCATGTGGAAATATGAGACTCTTTCATGTGTTTATTATATGCTGAACTGTAATATGATATGTACTTTCTTACCTTCACATTCCATGTCCCTTCTGCCTGGTATGTCCCCCCCACCTTAACTTGTCTGTCTGGCAGTAGTCTCTTTCTTTTCTTTTAAATCTCAATTCAAATGTGATCTGTATGAAACCTGACCCCTCTGGGAGGTACTAAGTACTTCTTTCTCTGTAATCCAGTAGGTTGCTATTTAGATTGCTATGTCTTTGCCAGATAGAGCCTTAGTAATTCACTTGCTCGAATGATAGTAGTATCAGTTTTCCATTGAGAAGATTAAGGATAATAAAATGTTCTTTCTCATCTCAATTCCTTTACTTCTTTGCAACTCCCCTATATGTTCTAAACTTTAGATCTTTAAAAAAATTCTCTGTTATATTTTCTCAAGGAGATTTTATAGTTTGGATTCTTTATTCTTTATACCTTTTTTTTTCAGTCAGACCTGGATTCTGATCTTGCCTTTTCCAGGCTTCATGTAACTTTGAACAAGTTACTCTTCTGAACCTCAGTTGCCTTATCAATAAAATGCCAGTATTAATGCCTTATTGTTGAATTATGTGAAGGTTAACTTACAGATAAAGCACTTATAAAGATGTTTCACATGTAGTGCACAAAAGTAGGCATTTTTTCTTGGGAAAAAGTTAATCTCATGTAAAGAGTGCTTTCAGTTCTTTAATCATTCTTTACTAAGCTTTTCCTATGGAGGATTTCTCCTGGTGATGACCGAAAACTAAGATGAAAAGAGAAATGGTCTATTGGGTAAGACTGATTGAATAATGCTGTTCCCAAGGCTTCGTTGATTGGCTCTTTATTCTTAATCTCCTACCACTGCCTCTCAGTTCCAGCAATGAATAGATCTGCCGTTATTTCCCAGAATGTGCCACGCCATTTCATGCCTCTGTGCCATTGTACGTTCTGATTCTTTGGCCTGGAGTTCCCTTTCTCTCCGTGCCCACTTGTTAAACTCTTATTTTGCTTTCCAAAATCTGACTCAGGTATTATTTTTTCTCGGATATTTCTCTGACTTCTCCAGATAGCATTAGTCTTTCCCTCTAGTACTTCCATTCCTGTACCTCGTTTGTTACTATCACTTGGTGCCAATCGTAGTGCCTGGCACATGATGGGTACTTAGTAAATAAACCTTTGTTAAATAAATGAATTTCCTAGAAAACCCAAAATACTCCCTTGAGTAGCCCAAGTACTCATCATCTCCATTTTGATTCAATGCTTTGGTTTATTAAAAGGCACTTTAGAATGGTAGAAAGAACACAGTTTTTAGAATTGGACAGACATAGTTTCTAATCGTGGCTCTTCCAAGAAAAATTATCCTTCTGAAACTCAATTTCCTTTTCTGTACAGTATGAGTAATAATTCCTTATTATATTGAGGTTTAATTAATAGGATTATCTTGAGGCTTAACTAATATGTAAAACCCCTAGAGCAGAGTTTTACACATGGAACACTAAGTAGGTGCTCAGTAAAGAGTTGTGGTTATTAATATTACTGTATGCTTCAATTATATGAGAAATAATGAATAATCACTTTGAAAAACAAAGAGATTTTGCTTTTTCCCCCACATTTTGCTTTCGTAAGCCATCAGATCCCTCGATCCATTGAAGAGAAATGCTGTCCTGTACATTATTTATTTCTTCAATAAAGACTGAGTGCCTGCTATATGCCAGGCACTATTCTTGGTTCAGAGGGTACACTACTAAATATGAAAGACAAAAATTCCTATCCTTATCAAGTTTATATTTTAATAAGGAAAGCAGACGAATTTGAATAGCATGATCCAATATCATGAAATTCTATATAATTCTTGTCACTTCTTTATATTGTGCAATAATCTCATGTTCATTTGCTTTTAGTATCACATACTAAGTAGCTCCTCGCAGTGCTCCCACTGATCTCTGTGACTTTCTATCTTGGTTGTTACGTCAGTTATTCACTGTACCAAGGAAATAGGCCACCTCCTCCTGTGTTCTCCCCTTATTAACCTCAGTGACAGTGGGAAGGCAATAGAACAGCATTTTCATTGCCAAACCCCAGCCTAAGTTTGATTGGGAATACTAATTCTCAAAAGTTAAGCTGAGGAGCAAGAGATACCCTCTGAGCCTTTACTAAGACAGATGGTAGAGATTTAAGAACTAAAAAGGACTCTATTCTTTCTTTTTTTTGAGGAAGATTAGCCCTGAGCTAACATCTGCTGCCAGTCCTCCTCTTTTTGCTGAGGAAGACTGGCCCTGAGCTAACATTTGTGCCCATCTTCCTCTACTTTGTATGTGGGATGCCTACCACAGCATGGCTTGACAAGCGGTGCATAGATCCGCACCCAGGATCTGAACCGGTGAACCCCAGGCCGCCAAAGCGGAACGTGCGAACTTATCTGCTGCGCTGCTGGGCCAGACCCTAAAAGAGATTCTATTCTTCATATTTTGTAAATCTAAAAACTAAAGCCCAGGAAATGAAGAGACTTGCTCAAAGTCACAAAGCTGATCAGGGACAGCTCCAGGAGATCCAGGTCTCTTAACTTCCAATTTGATGCTCTGTTTACTGTTCTACATATCTGAAAGTATTTGGAAGAGTGTTCACTCTTCCATTTGTTTCTGTGAGGGAATAGAATTGGTCTCTCATCTTTTTAACGGAATTGTATTGCTTATTCTCCACTTTTCTTCTTCGACTCTAGCCATTTGATGTGAACTATTCTGTGGGTGCAGATTTTCAGTATCTACTGTGATTCGGTTGAATATGTTTTGATTCAAGTAGACTGCCAAGAAGCCCAGGAAGCCATAAAACTTGACTAAATCATTAATGAATCTGTCATTCTGCACCATTTGGGGAGAGGAATGCTCTAGCTTCATGTCTTAACAAACGATGTACTTTATCGCATCATGTTGGTCTCTTGTGCAAGTAAGAAGCTAAGCCAAACTTAATTTCTCTGTTGGACTTCGGATCATCTTTTTAACTTATATGTGTGCAAATGACTCATATTTGTTTTCCTTTAGTTCCCAGTTACAATTATTTTATGTAATTTAGGTCCTTTTATTAATTCCATTCTTGTAAAGCATTCTTATAAACTATTTAAACTATTTAAATAATTGGTTTTCTTGGTGAAAATATTTGAATTTTCTTATAAGCCTCCTGCTCATTTGACACATTTTTCTTTTCCCGTCCATAGTCCTACTTTTTTCCAGGCAGAGCTGTGGATCAAAGAATTGTAAGTTTTTATTTTTTATATCATTTTTCCTTCTCCATCACTTCCTAGAAGAAATCAATTAGCCAATGACCCTATTTAGTCAATAAAAATTCCCTATTTATAAAACAACTTTTAAGTTGTTGGATTTTTAAAATTTTGCTGGAGTTGGGGCATTTCCATGCTCAGGTTTATTAAATGTATAACAATTATTGGAGCTAAATTGGAAAAACTTTCACAGTAAGTTATTATATAGAAAGAAAAATAAACGCCCTTATTTTCACATCAATAAAACTAATTTATTGAATAATTCATATTTCTGGAGTTTGCAAAATCACTGAAAGCTTTTAGTCTCCAATTGCAAGAACTCCCTCTGAGATATCCAAACGCCCCCTGGTCTTGTTGATTTTTTTTAAAGAAAAAATAAACCCATATTTCATCTTTTGGAACACAAATGCAATGTTTGAATTAAAATGATATCAGTGATATCTTGCATTATTTTCTCCTTTGGAATTCAATCTCACTTTTGGATTTCCAGAATGAAGCTTTACGTTCTCTATAATCTTAAAAGCATATTAAAAAAAAGACTACGCATTTGCACATATCCACAGAAGTCATCTGTTCACACTTAGCAACAAACTAATCATTTTAATCATTTCAGTAAAAATAGGATAGTTTCAATAATACCACATGGTTTCACTCTGTCTTAAAATATAAGTGTAGTGATAAATTAGTGTAAGAATTTTAGACTTTCTTTGTAAGTGTTTTATATTTAATGCTCATTATGCATCAACAGTGTGCTTGGTGCTAAGAGAGTGGTCTGCTTTTGTGTGACATTCCTTTTCATTTCCTAGAACTAGTGTTTATGATTCTCGAGCACGGGAAAGATTGCGCCAGATTGAAGAGCAGAAAGCATTGGCATTACAGCTTCAAAACCAGGTAAAAAACTTTGGATAAGATTATAAATAGCACATCCAAGTTCAAACTAATTTGAAAGGTTACCTGGATTTGGGATCAGAGCTTTTGTAATCACAAGATTATATGGTAGTGTAGCATGGTATGATAAGTGCTATATGTTCTTGGTCTCTCCATCTAGTGCTACAGGGTACAGAGACAAATTTCTTCATCGCCCTTATTCTAAAGTTCTGTCTTTCAGAGATTGCAGGAACAGGAGCATTCAGTGCATGATTCAGTAGAACTGCATCTTCGCGTACCTCTTGAAAAGGAGATTCCTGTCACAATCACCCAAGAAACGGGAAAAAAAGGTCATAAATTAACTGATAGTGAAGATGAATTTCCTGAAATCACGGAGGTAAATTACGTATTATGAATTCCTATGCTAGCAGTGTTGTGTTTAGAAAGAATGCTTTGGATGAATTTCAAACATAAAGGTAACAGAACACCTGGCATTTAAGATGTATTGAATACTCCTGCTTTCAATTGTACTATACACCAATCTCAGTTTTATTTTTAAAGGATTGTTCAAAATTGAGGAAAGAATTATGGGTGGCTTTTAACGACTTCAGCGAATTTAGTAGATTTGTGTTTTGTTTCATGTGCATTTTTAATTAATGTACACACTTAGTAGTTTGACGTCAAATAGTAGGCTGAGGCTTACTATTTTTTTAATAAAAATTCAGTTTAAAAATTTGGAAAATATATAAAAGTCGTCTATGTACATTTTTTTTTTTTTAAGATTTTATTTTTTTCCTTTTTCTCCCCAAAGCCCTCCGGTACATAGTTGTATATTCTTCATTGTGGGTTCTTCTAGTTGTGGCACGTGGGACGCTGCCTCAGCGTGGTTTGATGAGCAGTGCCATGTCCGCGCCCAGGATTCGAACCAACGAAACACTGGGCCGCCTGCAGCGGTGCACGCGAACTTAACCACTGGGCCACGGGGCCAGCCCCAGTCTATGTACATTTTAAAATAATCTGTTATTTTTGGAAAGGTTCTATTTCTTAGGAAATTGTTTGGACCAAAGATATAAAATATAATTAGGTCATCTCATGCACTTAGAAAATTTGAAAGCAGAAGCTTATTTCAGACTTTAGGAATAATATGAAACAAGGATGTGAAATGTGCTGAAAAAGAGAAGGGAAGACAAGATGGGATGGAAGGAATAGAAACCAAAATGTTAGAAGTAAACAGTGGGTTAGTGATAAATATAGTCTGGGGGATTGTATGGAGCCTGGTGAGAAACCTAGTGCATCTGAAGCCATCTATGCTTGATCTCTGACAACTCTTGGTTTCTTAGGAAATGGAGAAAGAAATAAAGAATGTATTTCGTAATGGCAACCAGGATGAAGTTCTGAGTGAAGCATTCCGCTTGACTATCACACGCAAAGATATTCAAACTCTAAACCATTTGAACTGGCTCAATGATGAGGTAATCTCACACCCGTTTTTATATTGAAATAGTAAGTGAATATTAAGTGGAAACTAAATCAAGGCATTATCTCACTGTTTCTCAAAGTGTGGTCCTCAGATGATCTACGTCAGAATCAGCTCTCACAGGCCTTTCCATTCTCCTGAATAAGTATGAGGCAGTGTGGTGGGGATGTGCATTTTAAACATCTCAGGTGGTTTTTATATACTATGAGGTCTGAGAACTGCTGATTTATCTTTTTATGTATGGAAGATTTGGACACTGAGGGAAAGGACTCTCACTCGTTGGTATTCTCACTCTCTACGGCACTGCCCTGTAGTTCACATCTTCTAAGCAAATATTTCATAGTTGACCATGTTGCACAATGAAGGAATACTTTGGGATTTCCTTTTCTACTTCCCTTTCTATCTCTACTTGTTCTAGGTCACTTAGATTATTATGAGTGATAAGCTTTCTAAAATAGCCTACACTTATACGTGATATTTTTAAACCAACATTGAAAAACTTTGTTAAATATTTGATGTATTGGGTTAAAAAAAAGTTGTGGGCCTCAGCTCCTGAGTTCTAATTATTTTAAGTAGATTAAGTACACTATAATCTTTAAACCGCTATGTCCTATTCCTAAATATGAAGGAGCCTCTTTTATTTCAGAAAGGATATTTTCACAGCAAAAGAAGAGAACTGGATTGGGTTTTTTCCCTAAGTACCTGCCTTCTTTCTTAGGCCCACTAGGAGCACCCCTGCCTGATTTTGGGTGTACTCAAGCTTCACAGCTATGGAGGATTTTTAGATTCTTAGTGTAATAAGCACTAGATATTCTAGATACTATGTCTTGATATTGTACCCTTAGGACCTTCCAAATTATAATGTTGGCTAATACCTAGAGAGCCTTTACCTCATGTTAGGCACTATTCTAAATGCTTTATGTGTTCTACTCCTGTAATAGTCACCACAACCCTTGGAGGTAGATACTATAGTTTTATGATCTCCATTTTATAGATGAAGAAAAAAGGCATAGAAAGATTTAAGAAATTTGCAAGATTACATGGCTGGTAAGTGGCAGAGCCCAGGATTCAGATCCAAGCTTTGAGTCTTATCTATTATGTCATACTGCCTCATAATCTTAAGTTGGATTCTGTTTTAGGATTAGATGTATAGAATTTGAGAGTCATGTCATGCCCAGCATGTTAATTTTTCTTGGGGGCCAACTGGACTAGCCCCATTCTCTTTGTCACTGGTGAGTTTGTAATATATAAACTTCAGAAGTTCATCACTCCCTGAATAGTATCTTTGACTAAGAATAGTAAGAAAGACATGGTTTGACACTTTCTTGCTTTAGGGAAACCACCCTTGCTTCTTTCAGCTCAGAATAGTGATATAAGAACATTGGATCAAATAACAGAAAAAAAAAGAGCTCACCAAATCAAAAGGCAAAATGAAAATCAAGGACAATCAAAAGTATCCACCAATTAAGTGTTTTTGATTTGGAGACGTTAATCTGTGGTCTCTTTCCATTTTTTGGCTGCCACTGCTAAATGGGAAGGGATCACAATTATTCTAAAGAGATTATAGCCCATTTGTTGTAAATTATGCAAAACCTTCTAGGGGGCAGCAATGAGTAGGATATGAGCTGAGTTCTTGCTATTTTCTATGGCATTTACCTCAGTGAGATCCCTTACAGAGGCGGCATTCATCAGGACATATTTTCCATTCCCTGGGCCCATCAGAGACTGGATTTTTAGCAAGCAAAGTTCATGGAAATTACATTATTTAGAAGAGCTGAGGGGAAGGAAAGATTCCTTGTCTACTTTATCTCTACCACATCTACCCATAACTTTTATAGGGAGTGCTTGTCTTCCTATTTCAGGATAATGTTAACTTTGAAGGCAGCTGCCAGTTCACATGTCCATGATGATGATGATGAGAACTATTTTAAAAAGCACCCTTTCAAAGTACTATACTTCTCAGGCTTTCAAAGTTATTGCCCTTGAGAAGCTAACATTCTGATGGGGAATTAATTTCTTAAGTATTCATACATTTTAAAAATGCTTAACTCTGTTTCTCAATTGTGAACTCCCAATCTTCTTTGGCAAGTAATTTGTTCTCTCTTCAATCTTATTCTTCTCTCAAATAGATATTTTCAGTAATAACCATTTCTCTTCTTTTTATGTCTCCCATCAGTTTTATAGGCCACATTAAAATTTTATCCAAATAAGGTTACTGGCACATTATTCTTACCATTTTATAGACAAGGAATATAAGGTCCTGAAAGTAAAAAGGATCAGATTTAGTCTATAAGGAAAATAAAATACAGAAGTCCTGTATTTGAGATATGCACAGACAATTATTAGGCTACCCTTTCTCTGATCTCTTTCCTAAAAGGAGAATAGGCCACAATGCCTGTTCATACAGTAGGCTTTCAGAACATGTCTTCATGAATGGATTTATATATAGGTCAATAGTTAAATTCTTTCTAACTTCAAAGGACTAATGATTGACAGGATTGACATTTTACCTCAATATAAGAAAATGAAATTTCTTGAAATGGAATGTGGGAACTGGCTGCCATATATACAAAAGGAGGCTGGAAGACTGATAACATCAGGGACATTATAAATCTGGATTTCTCTACTGGATCTGGTGATTAATTATTAATAGAAGTATTGAATAAAGGGAAGGAAGATAGGGTTAAACAGAAGAGCAATTAGTTGCAAAAGTAGATTGAAAGCCACAATCAAAAAACAAAAGGAAATTTTTTTTTTTTAAAGATTTTATTTTTTCCTTTTTCTCCCCAAAGCCCCCCGGTACATAGTTGTGTATTCTTCGTTGTGGGTTCTTCTAGTTGTGGCATGTGGGACGCTGCCTCAGCGTGGTCTGATGAGCAGTGCCATGTCCGCGCCCAGGATTTGAACTAACGAAACACTGGGCCGCCTGCAGCGGAGCGCACGAGCTTAACCACTCGGCCACGGGGCCAGCCCCCAAAAGGAAATATTTTTAAACGGATGTCAGTATTAGAAATTACTTTTTAATTCCTGGAGATTGAATTGGATGATTTCTGGAATCCAACTGTCGGATTCTAGGTTAATGATCCTAAGGAGAGGACTGCTTTGGTGTTTATGTTTCTCTTTATGGCCTTTATAGTTCTGCTTCTTAGAGGGCTTTAAAGTTGTTTTGTAAGACATCTGATACATTTAAAAATACATGGAAATTATTTAGACATACAAGTAAATGAATCTGACTTCTGCTTCTGGTCATAATAGAGTAAAACCGATCAGATATACCCTTTCAGCCTAACTAGAAAACTAGACAAAACATGAAACAACAATTTTCGGACATTGGATAACAGCAGTACAGGGCAGTAATCCCTAAGAGAAGGGAAATGAAAGGGGTGAGCCTATGATTCCCCCAGCTTGCTAGGATGATGCGTTGAGGACACAGAGCTAGTAGAACCTAGCAGGGCCTCACAGTCTTGCTGAGTGGAGAAGACAGAGTTCAGAGTTTGGGGAGGCCAAAGTGGCTAAGATTTGTAAGGTAAAATACTGGAGGGGAAGGTGCTGCACAAAGAGAAAGCTCCAGAGGTGTGCAGAGGAGCCCGTGTCAAATCTTTCCCTGAATACTAATTTGTGCATGTATAGGAAGAAACTACCAGAGGCTGGGGAAAGAACCACCAGAAAGAAGGAATCAGATCAAACCTCAGAGCTAAGACAGGTTGCCAAGAATAATTCATGTTCCAACCAGTTAGAGTGGAAAAGTCACAGGCCATTGATTAGAGTCCTCAAAGGGTATTGCCTCACAGGTGGGACCAAACTGGCCTAGAATAAGTCTGCTCTGGACCCATGGTAACAAAGCTTAAAAACTAGGCTTGAAAGCTTGAAACTGATCTAAGTAACGCAACTATGTCACAGAATGAAACCCAACAATATTTAAAGGAATACAACAAATTCTAATAACAACAAAACCCAACAGTGTGAAATGCACAATGTCCAGCATCCAGTCAAACATTACCAGGTATGCAATGTGAAAGGAATTATAAGGGAAAAACACCAATCACTAGAAATACCCAGAAATGACAAAAATGATAGAATTAGCAGACAAGGATATTAAAACAGGTATTGTAAACATATGTTCAGAAGGGGGAGGAAAATGGACATTATGAGGAGAGAAATGGAAGATATAAAAAAAGACCCAGGGGTCCAGCTCCATGGCTAAGTGGTTAAGTTTGCACGCTCAGCTTTGGTGGCCTGGGGTTCACCAGTTCTGATCCTGGGCACAGACCTACACACACAGCTCATCAAGCCATGCTATGGCGGTATCTCACTAGAACGACTTACAACTAGGATATACAACTATATACTGGGGCTTTGAACTTCTAGAGATGCAAAATATAGTATCTGAAATTAAAAAAAAAATACATTGGATGGGATTAACAGTAGATTAGACACCACAGAAGAAAAAATAGTAAACTTGAAGATAGAGCAACAGACACCACCCCAATGAAACAGAAAAAAGGCTGAAGAAAGATGACTAGCGCTTCGGTGAGCTGTGGGACAATATCAAGCTACCTAAGCATGTAATTTGGGGTCCCAGAAGGAAAGGTGAGGTGTAAGTTGGGTCAGAAAAACATGTTTGAACAATGGTGGAAGATTTCCAAGTTTGAAAACTTACACTGACAGATCCAAGAAATTTAGCATACCCCAAGTAGAAGACATACCACACTAAAATGCATAATAATCAAATTGCTGAAAGCCAGTGATAAAAAGGAAAAATAATAAAAGCAACCAGAGGAAAAGAGACACATTATATACAGAGGAATAAAGATAAGAATAGCTCTGTCAGAAACCATGTAGGTCAGAAGACAGTGTAGCTACATCTTTAAAGTACTGATGGAAAAAAACCCTTGTCAACCTAGATTCTATGCCCAGCAAATATCTTTCAAAAAGTAAGGCTATACTTTTTAGAGAAACAAATGCTGAGAGAATTCATCACCAGCAGACCTGTAC